CCGCTTGCACGGCAGCAGCCAAGTGCACATGAGGGCCGTCTACGCCTTAACGATTGTCGTATCTCGAATCGGCCGTGCGCACCGCAATGCCACTGTCACACTCAGTGCCTCCTTGCACCACAGAACCCACCCACACACCGCAGCGCCTGTGTGCATAACAGAGCCCGTACACTTTGAGTCAAGCGGCTGGTTTCCAGCACCCCAGGGTGCGCGACCGAGCACGTGCAACTACGTGGCACTGTTTTCGGGCGAGGTGCGGGGAGGAGGGGGAGGAGGAGGAGGGAGGAGGGAGGAGGAGGAGGAGGAGGAGGAGGAGACGGAGGAGGAGGAGGAGGAAGAGGAGGAGGGAGGAGGAGGAGGAGGAGGAGGAGGAGGAGGAGGAGGAGGAGGAGCGTTCACGCGGTAAAAGGGGGGCATCCATACATGGATGCCCCTCGGCCGCGGCCCCTTTTCCTCCGGTTCATCTCCCGTTGCCGCCTGTTCTCCTTCGCCCGGGAGGCTTCCGAGAGAGGGTTGGCTCTGTTGTGGGGATCCTGCGGTGGTTCCGTGGAAAGGACCCCCTCCCTCCTCCCCTTCCTCCTGCCCTTTTCTCCCTCCTCCCCCTGCCCTTCCTCCTGCCCTTCCCCCTGCCCTTTTCTCCCTCCTCACCGCCATCCTTTTCTCCCTCCTCCCCTTCCTCCTGCCCCATACCCCCCACCCCCCGCGCCTCCTGCTCCTCCCCATCTCGCCGCCCGCTCTCCCGAAGGGGGGATACGGGAAGCGGAAGACCAAACAGGCACAGTGAGCAACCAACAGAGAGCAGAGAAGTCAAAGACCGACGGCTGGAAAACCAAACAGCACAAGGGACATCCCAAACGACTAAAAAAACAAAGGTTTCAATACTTCGTCCACCCCCATCGCGCCTCTCCCACGAAGTATTGAAATATTTGGTGTTTCAGTTTGTTTGGTTTTTCCCAAGTGTTTGTTTGGGGTTTTCCAGCCGTCGGTCTTTGATTTCCTTGATTTCTTTGGTTTTGTTTTGTTGTTCCTTGTGCTTTCTTGGTTTTCACCGCCAGCACGACGAATCCAATGTAATTCGCCCATACAACGGATTGTGCCGCATCTCAAACAGAAGGGAATCCCTGCATGGATCCTCTACAGGGGAAGGATCATGACGAAGAAATAGCTCTCGGAAACGATTCGAGAAGCACGAGAAGGAACACATTGTGGACGACAGGAAAAGGACGATCAGACGAAGGAGGGGGGCGACGACGACGAGGACGACAACGAGGAGTAATCGCAACAAAAACAGCTTTGAAGCCTATGAAGGCCGAAAGGCCGCCAAACCCATCCAGTCTGGAGCCCATTCCCCCCGCATCCTCCGACCCGAAACAGGAAGCGCTTCCCTGCCAGGCAGCCACGCATGCGTAGCGTCGATCATGGGGCGCATTGTCTTGGATCGGTCATGCAGTGTCCCCTGCTTCTTTATGCTGGCCGTCTCTGTCCTCCTCCTCTCCTGGCAGCTTGAAGGAGGAGGAGGAAGAGGAGGAGTAGGATGACGAGGAGGAGGAGGAGGAGGAGGAGGAGGAGGAGGAAGACTGGGGCGACCGCGAGCGCTCGAGTCCCCGCCCTCCATTCCGTCCTTCCAGAAGCCGCTGTCGGATTGAGGGCTCCAGAACTGCGGTGCAGTGGTTTTGAACGCAGTGCGGGCCCGCAGAGGTGGGGATCACCTCTTGGGGATCAGATGCTGGTCTGGGCCGTTTTTGACCGTCTCGGAGGCCATCGAGGGCTTCCGAAGCCGTGTGCTTGTCCAAAGCCTTGCGTCGCGCTTCTTGGTTAAACAAAAAACATTGCGAGGAGGAGCGGAAGCAGGAGGATGGGGGAGAGGAGTCGCTCTCGAGGAGCCGTCGTCGAAAAACGCCAGTCTCGAGAAGTCGGCGTCGTCGTTCGTCGAGAGGGCCTGCCGCGCCTCTGCAGGGGGTACGCCCGCCACTCGCCGAGGCCCTCCCTCGGCGAAGTTGGAGCGGCCCTGTTCTCCGAGGCACGCCTCTGCGCGCCGCTTCCAGAACGACCCCTACGGCTTGATAATAGCAGTCTGTGCACACACGTGAGGTTCGGCGGCGTTGGTGGCGTCAATGCTGTGGGGGGGCGCAGGTGGCGTCTTCAGAGAAGGAATGAGGAGGATGAGGAGGTGCGGGAGGAGGAGGAGGTGGAGGAGGAGGAGGGGGAGGAGGAGAAAGCGAAAGATGAAGAGAAACAACAAGAACGAGAAAAAAACAACATACTCAGGAGGAGGTGGATGGTGAGGAGGAGGATGAGGAGGAAGAGAAGGGAGAGGGGGATGAGGAGGAGCGAGGAGGAACGAGGGGGAACGAGGAGGAGGAGGACGGGGAGGTAGAGGATGGCGCTGGGCAAATACCACAACCAAACTAACAACCGAACGTACACACCAAAACACTTATGTGTTGGCGACATAGGCTGCACGAACAGTTTGACAAATAACAATACATACGAGAATTCGTGGGTTTCCTTGATACGTTTTTCTTCGCGGGTTTCTTTTTCCATGGGATCGTTCTGTCCCCTGATGCTTCCAATTGTTGTTTTTACAGCTTCTGCCTCCAGCGCTTCAGTTCTCTTTTGTATTGTTTGGTGTTTTGTTTGGTTTGCGTTGGCTTGCCAGCGCCATGCTCCACCTCACCCTCCTCCCCCTCCTCCTCAATCCTTCTCCTCCGCCTGCCCCATTTTCCTTCCCCTCTTCCTCCTCCTCCTCCTCCGCCTCTTCGTCCTCTTCCTCCCCCTCGCCCTCCTCTTCCGCCTCCTCCTCCTCCTCATCCCCCCTTCCTCTCCCCTCACTCATCTTACTCCGCGTAAGGAAGAAGAGGGGAGGGATGATGAGGACGATGACGAGGCAGGACGCCATGACGGGTTTGAAGGGGAAGGCGTGAGACCTTTGCGCGGAACCATCCCTTCGCCCCATCAGCATGAGCATCACGTCCCTCGTCACGAGGACTGGGAGGAGTGTGAGAAGGATAAGGATGAGGAAGAGGAGGAGAAGGCGGAGGAGGTGGAGGATGTGGAGAACGGCACACGATGGCGGGGGAGGAGGCGGGGGCGGAGGCGGAGGCGGAGGAGGAGGAGGAGGAGTAGGTGGTGCAGGTGGAGAAGGAGGAGGAGAAGGAGGAGTGAGGAGGAGGAGGAGGAGGAGGAGGAGGAGGAGGAGGAGGAGGAGGAGGAGGAGGAGGAGGAGGAGGATGAAGAAGGGGATGGTGGAGGATGGCGCTAGAAAACCAACAACGCCAACGCAACAACAACCAAGGCACACAAAGAAGTTGAAGTTTAGGCGGCAGAAACTCTATGAGCACCACCGGAAACACAAGACGCTTCCACTGAGAATGTGCGGTGCCCCCTCAGACGTTTCTCTCCGGACGGTTTTCCTTGGGATCATTGGTTTCTGTTCTTGCTGATTCCCCAAGGCTTTCCTAAAGGTTTGACGCCCAGCACTTCAGATTGTTTGGTTTGTTTGGTGTGTCATTTGTGTTTGTTGGTTTTCCGCCGCCATCCTCCACCTCCCCTCCCCTGGTCACTCCTCCTCCTCCTCCTCCTCTTCCTCCTCATGCCCCTTCCCCTTCCGCTTCTTTCTTCCTTCCCGTCCTCCTCATTCCTCCTCCTTCTCCTCCTCCTCCTCCTCCTCCTCCTCCTCCTCCTCCTCCTCGTCATCCTCTTCCTCCTCCTCCTCCTCCTCCTACGGACTACGTCCGATTGCTCCACTCCACTCCTCCTCCTCCTCCTCCTCCTCCTTCTGCTCCTCCTCCTCCTCCTCGTCCTCCTCCTCCTTCTCCTCCAGCTCCTCGTCCTCCTCCTCCTCCTCCTCCTTCTCCTCCTTCTCTTCCTCCTCCTCCTCCTCTCCCTCCTCCTCCCGCGGCGCCTTACGGCGCCCTGGGAAGTCTTGAATTCGCGGGGGTTCGAAACCGACCTGGGTCCGAAACCGAACCCCACATGTCATTGCCCTAAGGGGGCATAATGAAGCCAACAAAACCTGCCGTCTCGCAGAGGCCTTCGTCTGCCTTCTCGCCGAGGCCTTCGTGGACGCTCCAATGGGTCGCGACACCCCCCGTCCAGGTCCAGGAAGGGGGGAAGGGGACGGTAAAACCCTTCCCCGAGGGGGAAGAAGGGGTTTGGAAGAGTCGCTGAACCACTCACGCCCTGAAGGGCTGGTGGAATTTGCATGGTGCTAAAGGGTGAGCCTCAGTTTGAAAGCGACCCGTGCTCCATCCGCGTCGCTACGTGAGGAAGCCTCGGGCGAATTGCCCTTCCCGTCCAACTGGCACGACTGGTGGTGCGACGAGGAGGAGCCATTCATGTATCAATTGGAGGGATCGAAGAAGTGGAGGGGGGGAGATCGAGGCTTTTGAGAAGGCCGCAGCCTTCCTTGGGCCCCCCAGAGGAGGCGAAGGCATAGGGGACGTGGAGTGGGGAGCGGGAATGGCCCTCCTGAGACCTACGATGATGTTTCGAAGCGCGCGCTGGCTGGTCTAGGAGCTCTACACCCCTCCCCTGGAGCTCGCTCTCCATCTCGAGCTGTTTTCGTTTGTTCCGGACCCCGGGCGGAGCCTTCGCGAGACCGAACGCTCTGACAAAACCTGCCGTCGCGGGTATTTCGTGTCGCCTGATGTCTGCTTGCCTCCCAGGGGCACCTCGATTCCGGAAGCTCGATCATCACAATTTAGGAAGGAGGGAGGGAGGGAGAGAGGGACAGGAGGAGGAGGAGGAGCAGGACGAGGAGGAGGAGGAGGAGATTTGGCGAATCGACCCAGACGTCCGACGATGTGTTTCTTCAACGCTTGTCCCCAGAGGCCCCCCATTCCTTCCCTGGGGGTGTTTTTTCGCCCTGGTTCCACTCTGCACGGTCATTGGGGGCCCATAGTTAGTACCCCCGGCCGCAGGGGCCGAAGCCGCGGAGACACGTGGGGATCGAAGCGTCGTGCCGTCGAACATCTGGGCATGCCCAGCTCCCCTCCCAGGAGCACTTCAGCGACGAGTACAACATACCGTACTTCTGGAACACGGAGACGGGCGAGTCGGCGTGGGAGAGGCCCACCTGAGCTGGCGGGCAGGCCCGCGCTCGCACAGGTCTCCGCGCAGGAGGAGGGGGAGGAGGAGGAGGAGGAGGAGGAGGAGGAGGAGGAGGAGGAGGAGGAGGGAGGAGGAGGAGGAGGGAGGAGGAGGAGGAGGAGGAGGAGGAGGGAGGAGGAGGAGGAGGACGAGGACGAGGACGAGGACGAGGGCGAGGACGACGACGACCAGGGCGACGACGACGACGACGCTTTCGTCTCGGATGCCCTCGGAGTTGGTCCCTGGTCGTCGAACGCCACTTCTGTCGGAGGCAGCATGAGCGACCCCACCACAGCCAGAGCTGCAACCTCCTCCTCCACCACCTCCTCCTCCGTTTCCGCCTCCTCCTCCTCCTCCTCCCTTCTCCTCCTCCGCCTCCTCCTCCTCCTCCTCCTCCTCCCCTCCTCCTCCTCCTCCTCCTCCTCCTCCTCCTCCTCCTCCTCCCTCCTCCTCCCCCCCCCTTCTCCTCTTCCTCCTCCTCCTCCTCCTCCAGCTCCTCCTCCAGCGAAGACGTCCCTTTGGCGCCAGGAACATGTCCGCTCTACTATGTGATCCGTGTCCACCACTTTGTGGCAAAGGGCAGCCCAGACATAGTGTATAGTTGATACGTTTTTTGTCAACGCCCGTCGATCGGAGAATCGGCCGGAAAACGATACACTATTTTGTGTATTGTTTTCTTTGGCATCTTTTGCGAATCCCTGTAGCATCGTATTTTGTGTATCGGAGAATTGTCCTGTAGCATCTTTTGTGAAGTCCCGTGGGACAGGGCGCCGGTACCGTGGTGCACGGTGTTTGGATGCGCGCGGCTCCCACCCGCGGTGTCTCTTCGAGCTGCGCTTTGGGGGGCGTCTCGAGCCTGGAGGGGGGCCCTGCCGCCAGGGCAAACAGAGACCAGGCTCCCCGCGCTGGTGGTGGCTCGGGCGGCGATCCACGGGGGGGCGATCGATGGAGGGGGCAGCGAGGGCTGCCGGAAAGGGGCCCCCTTCGAGGGCCCCTGAACGAGCTCTTGCGGGCGCAGGCGGGGGCCTCTCGGGCCCGAGGTCTTTCTCCCCCGCCGCTGTGTCACCACCCGCCAAACCACCCCGACCCAAGCCGAAGGCCTCACTTTGCCCTCCATTTCCAGTGGGGGGGGGGTCGGGGAACATTGAAAACACACAAATGGAACCCGTACCCCCCCCCCAACCTGAAATTCAGGTCTTCGAGTTGGGTTGGGGTGGTCTGGTAGGTAGTCATTATTCCCAGGCGTGCCCAGGACAAAGGAGCACCGGCCGGAACGAGGATGGGCGGCTTGGGCGTTTCTCGCCCTTCTCAGTCCTCTTCGGGAGCATCCTCGCCGCCACCGCAGTTGGGAAGCTGGCAGTTTTCTTCATTCGAGCTGCTCGCTGCGTTGCTTTTATCGCCCTCTGCCTGTTCTCAGGAGGGGAGAAATCAAAGACACGATTCATCGTCGCTCCGCAAGAAAAAATTGGGAAATATAGGGAATGGGGGGGAGACGAAAATCCCCAAAATATTGAAATATGTAGGGAATCCTGGTATTTGTGTGTATGTATGTGTGTGTGTGTGTGTTCCTGGCCCCCTTCATGTTCGGGGGGGGGAAATCTTCGCCGCCACGGCCGCACGCCCTCGCTCCAGGGTTAAGGCCATAACTCTCGGGGGTGGACAGGCCTCCTACACCCTGACACGTCGACTAGCGAATTGGCCGTTTTCGGTTCGCGAGAGGGCGTCGCGGCCGTCATTTTTGCGGGTCCAGGTCCGTCGGTTTCGGTCCCAGGCCGTTTTCACTAAGGGGAGGTTTACGAAAGGGAGGTTTGTCCACCGCCCAGACTCGCTCCAGGCCAGTTGGGGGGACGATGCTTTAGAGGGAGGCGGCGGGAGAGGAGTGCGAGGAGGACAGGGGAGAGTTCGGATCGGCGTGGTCGAGGAGGAGGATGGCGGGGGAGGGGAGGAGGATTGCGGGAATGTGGAGCAAGAATGCGATGAGGATGCGGAGGCGCAGCAGGAAGAGGCGGTGGTCGAGTGGCACGAAGAGGAGGACGCCGACGAGAATAACGCCGCGAAGGACGAGGGTAAGGATCTGGAGGATGATCTGAATTTCTGCCTGCAGCACGGCAACCTTTTCTTCGCAACCTTCTCTTCGACGTTGCCGACGTAAGCGAGGGCCAGAAACTTGCGGGAGGAGGAGGAGGAGGAGGAGGAGGAGGAGGACACAGACATCCGGCGGTGGGGTTCTTCTTGCTGCGTGTGCCCCCGGACCTCGCGACGCCTCCCCGCAGGGCCGACCTCCCCTCCCGAGTCACACCTGGGCGGGGCCCCCGACACGGGCCTCCGGGGGGCAAACACGGCAACAGGCCGCCCGCCCGGACCCCTTCCAGGCGCGGCGGGGAGCGGGACGACAGGGGGCAAACATGGCAACTGACCGCCTCCTCCTCCTCCTCGTCCTCCTCCTCCTCCTCGTCCTCCTCCTCCTCCTCCTCCTCCTCCTCCTCCTCCTCCTCCTCCTCCTCCCCCTCCTCCCCCTCCTCCCTTCAAGGCGCGCGGGGGAGCAGGACGACGGACGACGAGGAGGAGGCTGGCGGAGCGGAGCGGGCAGGCAGGCGGGTCGCGGCCGCCCGCCCCATCCAGGGGCGCCGGGGGGGGGCGCGCGGCGCACCCCGCCGAGCCCGCGAGGGGCGCCGCCGCCGCGCTCTGCGCCCCCGCCGGGTATAGCCAGCCGTGGTCGTTGGGGCCACCGGCCGGGGGGGCGGGGGAACCCAGGCGTCCGGCGCCAGGGGGCGGCCAGCTTGTTGGGCGCCGCGTAATGGGGGGGTCATAAATCGGGGGGGGTGGCGAGGGTGGTCCGAAACGGTACCCAAACGGTACCTAAACGAGCCTCCTGGGGCTCTGGAGGGGCCCGAAAGGGGCACGAAAGGGGACCTGTTCTGACCCCCCCGTTTATGACCCCCCCATTAAGCCCCGCCCGAGCTTGTCACCACGTCTGTCGGAGGTGGACAGACCTCCTACCCCTGACACGTCGATGAGCGAATTGGCCGCTTTCGGTTCGCGAGAGGGCGTCGCGGCCGTCATTTGTGCGGGTCCAGGTCCGTCGGTTTCGGTCCCAGACCGTTTTCACTAAGGGGAGGTTTACGAAAGGGGGGTTTGTCCACCGCCGAGTCTGCGCGCTGGAGGCCATCTTCGGGCATCGGGGCCATCTGGCACGCGTCTCGGCAGGGGAGATCCGGCCCCGGGGAGGGCGCCGAGGATCAGCGAGGATGAAAGAACCCCCAACCCGAATGAAACATAGTGAAGGCGTGGCCTCACTTAGGTCCCCGTCTTTGCATTACCAGGGATGACAGATCTGGGCACTCCGGTTTGATACGTCTGCAGGAAAAAAAAAACCCTATCCCTAATGTCTCTGGCCCTCCTACTTTGGGTCCCCTCCCAGAGGGTTAGGGGTCCTCTCGTTGCCCATCAGCGAGGTCTGGGGCCCAAGCATCGACCAAATCGAAACTCCGGACGTCTGGGGTTGGGAACGGGTGGGCGACATCTGCTGCCTGCAGTTAAGTCGGGCCTGTCCTCCCTCCTACAGGGGGACTTTGGACGAAGAATGTAGAATAGTCAAAAAATACCCCCAAATAGTCAAACAACATTGAACAAATCTTCCCCAGATTATTGTTTTGACTATTTTTGGATATTCCTCCTGTAGAGGGACACGCCCGACTTGAGCCTGCCTCCGTAGCCATTTTGGCTCAAGCCGTGTCGGGGCCCAGATCTTTCTGCGCCCTTGCTAACGTTCACTTCGACACGGCGCGGCGTTAGCGAGCCAATTTGGTAGCTCCCGCGTCAAGCTCTCAGTATCTCTCGCCCCCGCATGGCGCCGCAGCGCAATGGTGGTGCAGGCAGCCGTCAGCCTGTGGCCACCTGGCGCTGCCAGGCCTGTGGATGCAACCGCAATGTGCTCTCCTACTGGTGGTGCAAGCACTGCGGCAAGAAATGGCAGCCGCCCTCGGTCGGCACATACCGTGGGCCCCAAGGCGCTTGGCAAGATGGGAATGGTCTTCGTCTTTTCGATGCTGATCGTCCTCGTCCTCATCCCCCTTTGCGTCCTGGACTTGTCACCGCAGGAGTTCCTCCACCATCGGGTGCGGCAGCCGAAGGTGGCGGACATGGCGGTACAAAGCTTGGCCTCTCCTCGACGGACCTCGCCCTCCTCGTGGACCTCACTGGCCGCGCGGGTGATCAGGCTTCGTCCGACAAGTACAAGGAGCAGCTCAACAACCTCACCGCCCGCCCCGCTCCAAACGTGCCGCTGGAGCAGCGGGTGGCCCAGTGTCAGCGTGAGCGACTCCGACTGGCCAAGAAGCTTCAACATGAGCTTGACAAACTCGACCGCTGGGAGAAGGAGATGGAGAAGCAGCGTACGCACATATCGTCCATCTCAGAGCAGCTCTCCCGTCAGGAGGAATCCTACAGCGAGTTGGTTGGCAAGCTGGCGTCTGAGGTCCGCAAGGAGGCGCCGCCCCCCGAGGCGCCCAAGATCAACATCGAGGACCTGGTCGCTGGCAAATTTGACTCTTTCCAGATCGACCTCGGCTCTTCTCTCTCCTTCGACGCTGAGGACGAACTCGAGCTGTCCAAGGAGGACAAGGAGGAGCTGGACCGTCGACAGAAGAAGTTGGCTGAAGGTCTATCTAAGTTGTCCAAGGAACTTTTCTCCCAGGCCTTGTCTCAGGCCAAATCCATTCGTGAGCAACATGCCGAGCACCGCGCCCGCCTTCGCAAGAAGAGGAAGGGCGATGATGGCGACACCGTTCCCGCTGCTGCCGGAGGAGCTGGCCCTGGTGCAGGCGATCCTCGTCCTGAAGCTGGTGCAGCCGCTTCCTCTGGGGCTTCCGCGTCGGCTACGGGACCTGCGCCGACGTCCACGTCTGAGCCTCCTGAGTCCGCCCTTCTCAGTTCTGTCAAGGCCCGCGTGGCCAAGCTTCAGCAACAGGAAGCCCCCCCCTCGCAAGCT